GTTTTATTTTTAATATATGATTGTAATTATATAACGAAGCAAATGGTCATAAAATTAAAAATATAATGTGCGCTCGCGTTCTCAGGGGGTATAGGTGTAGCTTTTAGGGGGATGGGCGCCTCCTGGGGGAAGAGGGCGTTCAACTGGTGACCGCCGGGGGGTTGCGGTTGTTTGTGGGGCTCTGCCGATGCAGAGAGAGAACGCCTTCACGGCTTATCCCGAGTCCCGACAATCACGACAATCACGACTGAGACCTTGATCAAAAACAATGTTTACCGGTTCATAGCGTGAGGTACACTGAGAGGCAATGGCGTCAAGCCATGCCTTAAATAACAAATTACAGGTAGAGTTCAGGGAGTGTTTGCCAGTGAATGCATGGAAACTACTGGAAAGTAGTGGAAAAGTTTGGGTTTGAAGGACAGGTAGTCATGAACTCATTGGAAAAGTTAGGGATTAGATATTAATCCGATTAATATTTTTAAAATTGCGTTATATTTGTTAAATATTAATGTTTCATTTATATAAACTACCCAATTTTGTCGCTATTTCTATCACTACATAGTTTTTAAAAATAAAATTACTATTTTTAAAAATTGATAGTCATTAAACATCATATAAACTCATATTGTACAATTAAATATAATTAGTAAAAAGCACAAATTAAAAACAACGGATTTTAACATTTGAATTATATATTAAAATACAAGTACATTTCCGTTTTTATGACATTCCGTATATGGTGCATTAAATTTATTTTTTTTGTTAAAAACTGCCACATGTTGCTAGTTTACATATTTGGGAGTACCATACATAGGATAATACAGCACTTTTTATTTGACATGTTTTTCAATGTCTTATTTTTTATATCAGATATTTTTATAGCACTTTTTATTATCCATATATGAATTTATCATTTAACTATCAATATTTTCAATTAAATGCATAACTGTTCAGTTACACATTTTGTTTATTAAGTATTTATATACAAACATTATAAGGTATTAATAATTTAACTAATTTCAAGAAACGATCATTTAATAATGATATCACACAAATTAATACTCCTATTGTGTTATATATTATTTATTTTTAATAATTTCCGAGGCACTGATTCGGATAAACATTTGAAACTTGTTAGAAATTTTAACGCTTCAACTTATTACGGTGAGTTTATTATTTAATCTTATATGTAAAGTCAATAAATTGATTAAAAGTACACAACACTAGTAGTATTTACTTATAATTCAAAAATTAATGAGAACTACAGTACATTTTACTGATAAGAAATGTTTATTAATAT